CATGATATTTTTAAAAATAAAAACAAATTAAAAATCTTTTTAAAAATGCCAAAATTATAAATAAAAGTGACATTTAAATCTGTGTTCTTTATAAAAATAAAATAAAATAAGAAATGATTGATTTAAAATAAAGCAGATTATTCAATATTTATATTTCCATTTATTTTACTTAAATAATGGAAATCAATCTGTAAAAAGGGGATGGAAGAAGGAGTTGGAAAGGTTTTTTTTTATAATTTAATTGCTTTTACTATCCAACATGGTTTTGTTCTTTTGAGAAAGGCATCCGATATTTTACGTCTTTCAGGAAAATCTTTAGTTCTTGTTGTGATGATTCCCAAAGCATTCTTATGTTATAAAGAAAGCGATAAGGTCAAATGAATAAAATGCTGCCTGACATTGACTATTTTTCTATTATGTATGTAGAAAACTCTCTATTCTCTACACACATTTAGAACTCATTAAAAATATATGAGTTTTTATTATAAATTTATAACTTAAAACATTAAATAAAACTAGGAGTTAAATTTTTAAAACTATTTTATAAACTAATAATTACTGTGGGTATAAATAATAAATAATTCACTTGTTAAATATACTTAATAAAATCAGCATGAAGTGTTATGTAAAATTATATAGGAAATTATGTATGTATATATATATGTATATGTATACATACATACATATATATATAATATATATGTATGTATGTATTGGTAGACACATTTATTGTGCACTAGTACACACAAATACAACTGTAGAATACACTGGTAGTGTCTTCGGATAATATTTATTTCGAAAACACCATGGAGTGTATTGTATTACATAGTGCTTTCAAATATTTTATTTTTTGGTGTTCTTAAACAATACTATCTTATATTGGTTTTGAGTGTTTATTGCATAATTAGTTTATTATATTTTTCACACATTAATTTAGTGTTTATTTTTATATTGTTTTAGTATCTTATTCCCATATTGTTTGTGTTTTATTCTTATATTTTATAACATTTCTATTTTTTATATTGATTTTTATAATGTAGTATTATATTATCGTATTATTTTAGTGTTTTATTTTCATTTTGTTCTAGTGTTTATTCGTTTATTATTTTATATTCATTCTTATATTGTTTTATTGTTTTATTTTGATATCGTGTCAGTGTTTTA